TGGTCCCTGCCAGTACCCAAGGGTATCACTGCGCAATCCACTCGTAGTGCAGCACCTACAGAGGCTTGGGCTACGCAGGTGTCAGTGGAGGAGGTGTGCAGAGCAGCCACGTCACCTTCGCCTTTCATCTGTCACTGCCGTCTGGACTCCTTCACTTCAGTGGATGCGGCATTTGGGTGACGGGTCCTGCAACATGTTGTTTTGAACCGTGAACGTGACCAGTCTTAACCCTTCTGAGGACAACCCTGCTTTGGTATGTCCCATCCTGACCAGTCACAGCCTTACAAGAGAAAATGGGCATTATTTACCTGAACGCCACTTTTCCTTGTAGGCAAGACAGGTCAGCCCCACCATGTGGGACTGTTCCTTCGGGGGACCCGAGGGGGGGATCCAGATAATATTCGTGTTTTTTTGTTTCCCTTTCTCAGGGGCAATCTGGTCTGTCAGACTAACTTCACAGAAACTGGGAGGGGCTACCTGGAGTGGGCGGAGCTAGGCTAATAAGCCTTTTGCACAGACTCAATCCTCAGCAGTTAAAGGAGAGTATCACCCATCCTGACCTGTCTTGCCTACAAGGAAAAGTGGCGTTCAGGTAAACAACGCCCAATTATACACATTTTTACCCTGTTCAAGACAAAGTTTACCCAGTCAGAAACAAAGGTTCAATATCAACGCGGGTCTTTATCTTCAAAGTTTCTTTGTTCACGCCCCTGTCTCCGACCACCTTATCTACGGAGCATCCCTATAGCCGTGTATTGGGGTGGGGCGATTACCCTATCTGGCCAAGTTGTTTATTCAGCAGAATACTTTCAGGTAATTCCCTGCTGTGGTACTATCTATGAGGCAGGAAACTCCCTACTCTGGTTCCTTTATCTATGAAGCCTGATACTCCTGAATAACAATTTCTTTTATATTTTCAAGGATGTACCTAGGTTTGAATCAAAGGACAGAAGCGAGATAACAAGTTTTGCACTAATGCCAACCAGTATCAAGGCTACAATTTACTAAGCTAGAATTAATTCCTAACAACTAATTTCTGACAGTATACAGTGGGGGTGTCAAACTCAGGCCCACGGGCCGGATGTGTCACATGCTGGCCCCACCCCCGGCCAGTTTAGCAAAGGGGGGAAAAGTCCCAATACATCACATGGCACCACTGTGACAACGTGAGCTTGACATCCCAGTATACAATAATATAAGCAGAAGCCAATAACAAAGCTCAATTCCTAACAAATGATTTCTAGCAGTGTATCATGTTAGAAGCAAACAGCAAATATTGATTTGATCACTAACAAATATATAGTATATAGCAATTCATAACAAAAGCAAATAGCCAATATTAATTTGATCACTATGCTTCAGTTAGATCACAAATATACCTGATGTAATAAAATATACTATCTTGTCTGGCTATTATTTATATCAGCATTATTAAGGATTAAATATGCTCTGTGGTTCTCAAAGTTTTTAATTTTCACTGTTGCCAAAATATCAAAATTAAAAAAAATATTTTTCTGAAAATGCATAGGACTATAATTATAAAAATATAGTTTGATGTTTTATACCACATAGTTATGTTATTATTTCACCCTGTTATATTTGGTAAAATCAAGGAGATGAATATACCCTAGAATCCTTGCTTCCTGTTTTCACACAACAGTTACCCCTGTGAGGTGGGCTGTGCTGAGAGGAAGTTACTTAGCCAAAAGTTACTTGGCTAGTTTTTATGCCTAAGGGAGGCCTAGAACTTAGTCTCCTGGTTTCTGGTGCCAGAACTTAAACTAAACTGGTTTACTTAAATTTTATAACTTTTTATAACTTTTTTTTATTTTATTTTATGCATTAAAGCGAGGTAAATAAATGTATAAAGCATGCCAGCTTTCAGAACAATTGCTAGTAAAGATTACAAGATTTTTGGATATTTCTTTCCCTAGAGAAAAATTATTGGAGATAATCTGGCTTTGTGATGAGATTACTAAACTGTTTTGCTTATCAAGCCCTATAGTTCCATAATGGCTCCTGAGATTCATATTCCAAAGTATGAGATGAAAATCTATTATTTTGTTAATATAGGAATTCAAGTAGAAAATTAAATGTTCTGGAAGTTACTATTCAAGGCATGCTTCATGAGGTGTACTCAAGATCTTAATATCATTCCAATTAGATAGTTGAAATTCAGATTTCCTAATGGCATTTTCTGGGGTTATTGAGAATAAAAACTTCATTATCCCTATCCAGCATGGCAAAATATGGAATTGAGCCAGGGTACATGATTTTTACAGAGATATTTCCCATCCTAGTACCTTTGTGCATAAAATTCTAAAGCAGTGGCATCAATGTTTAAAGAGTTGTGGACTGCAGTTCAACCTCCTTATTTTTAAAAAGCCACATAAGACCAGCTAGAAATGTAGTACACTAGGATGGTGTGGCCAATATTTGGTGACCCTTACAAAATCTTGGGTGATTTAGAGGTAAATAAATGCGTTGGAAGGTTTTCCTTAAAAGATTCTTCCCATCTGAATTATGTTAGTGAAATGCAATAATTTCCTTTAAATTGCAGCTGCAATCAGTTCCAGGTGTTAATTGGGCCATATGTGAACCATGTTGCCCATTTTAAAGTTCTATATTCTTGTTGATTTGCAACACCGATAGTTTTAGATTGTAATATGAATTAGCAAAGCACCTTATCACCCTTACGCCAGCTAAGATTGGACTTAAGCATAGTACATAAAATCATATGTTACAATGTCTTACCAGTTAATGAATATTTCAGCTTTAACCACAACACAAGAGCACACAACAGGTATAAACTTAATGTAAACCACTCCAAACTTGATTGCAGGAAGTACAATTTCAGCAAGAGAGTGGTCAATGCCTGGAACTCACTACCTGATTCTATTATCACATGCTGCTCAAACTCCCACTCTTTTACCCTGAAACTAACCTCTACTGACTGACCCCATTCCGAAGTGGTCTGTAAGGGGCGAGTATAAGCACACAATCGTGCCTACCGTCCCTGTCCTATTGTCCTCAATTATTAGTTCCTATTTCATGTATTTAAACTTGTGTTTATTCTTATTTCTATTATATTCTAAGTGTTTGACAAAATAAATAGATAAATAAATATCCGTATATTGTAATTTTTTTTACTCTATAAGAGGCTCCTAGCTTTTGAGGAGGAAAACAAGAAAAAAAATATGTCTCTGCCTCCCAGCAATTTGCCTCCTTGCAGCAAATAGCAAACAGCCCGGTCAGCTTCAGCATAGACTGATTTAGCACGAGCAGCTGATTGGCGGTTGGATCAGCCTCCTGGAATACCGCCGATCAGCTTTTCCAGGCTGCAGGGATCGCCGCTGCCTGTCACCGCAGATCACCGTCTCTGCACTTTTGGCTTCCATGCGCCCCATTTTTGGCCTCCACACGGCCCCTTTTTGGCCCATTCCAGGTACCTGGGATTCAGCCTGATCCCCGCAGCCTAGAACAGCTGATCGGTGGTATTCCAGGAGGCTGATCCAACCGCCAATCAGATGCTCGTGCTAAATCTTGCTTTGCTGAAGCTGACCAGACTGTTTGCTATTTGCTGCAAGGAGGCAAATTGCTGGGAGGCAGAGGCTGAAGGGTGGGGGCCGGCGTGTGGGCTGGGCTTCAGCAGCATTCATTCTATAAGACACACAGACATTTCCACCCACTTTTGGAGGGGGAGAGTGCATCATATAGTGTGAAAAATATGGTACTTGATTGTATTAGAGATTTCTGTTTCATTGGTGAAAAGATTTGAAATGACATGATACATTTGTTTAAAAAACATTTATTAATGTAAGGTAGAGAAATGTGTAAGTGAAGCATTTAAATCTGTTTCAGGCATTGCACACAGTTCAGTGTGCTTTGTATAGACTTTGTGGACAGATCTTGCATGCACGCATTTCAGCTGCCAACTATAAGAAACTTTTCAGGGATGAATCTTCCATCTCACATTCATTTTCCCTTAAAGTACGGTATATATAATTATACAGATGTTTTGATGGATCTATAAGAGCATAAATTGATTGCAAATAAATCATCCTATAGCATGAATTTATACAGATCAAATGTAGTGGAATATTACCTGTTCTTGATATAAATACTGTTAGGGAAAAGAAATTTATAAACTTTGCTAAATGCAGTGTTTGCATATTGAGTATCTTAAATAATTACATTTTTCATTCATCTAATTTTTTTGCCCACTGTCTCTTCTAATTTATTTATTTTTGAAGATGATTATTAGAATTGGATAAAAAGAATGATGGTCTATGAAACAAGATTTTAGATTACTTACATTATATAGATTTGGTCGTGCCATTAAACAACTTCAGTATGTTGTCCCATAAATTACCTAGTGTCTTGTTTCTGTTTGTGATTTTTAAATTATATACACAGGTTATTTATGTACTATTCTATTCAATTTGAGGTGGGCAAAATTATATGCTTTGTAAAAGACAGCAGAACCAAATAACCACTGCTGATTGTGGTTAATTTTAGATTACTATCCAAGCTTTATGTAACATTTTGATCTTGTTTAAATAATATTTTGCTATTATTCTGTAATAGTTTTGATAGATTCCACTTTTTAAATATTAACAAAAATATTATTTTTAATGAAAAAGCATTTTAATAGCGGTAAAATAAGAAAATATATCCTTAGTTGTCTGCCCTTGGAATATTCATATTCCATTATTCTAATTGCTATATGCTGTATAAGATTATCATTTGGCGATATATAATAGCCTTTGTTGCAATTGATAGACATCATTTTCGTAAAAGTGATCTCTTATTTTCCCCCTTCTATGCTTCACCTTTGTTGCAGTAGTCATTATAATATATATTTATAGTTATACACACTCACATTATAAAGTCTTCTAATAATAAAGAACCAATTCATGAACTGTTTCTTTTTATATAATTGCCTCCTCTGCCCTTCCACTGATTGTTTGACCCAGATTTTCTATCCTGCTCCCTTGCAGGGAAATTGTGTCAACCTCACAGAAGCCTTGTCTCTCTATGAAGAACAGCTTGGCAGATTATATTGTCCTGTGGAATTCTCAAAAGAAGTTGTATGTGTCCCCTCATACATGGAGCTGTATCCTTCAATAAGAAACCATGTTTGTTAACAATCCTATTTCAGTTGGTGCTAAATCATAGCTGGCTTAACCAGAATGACATGTTAAATCTAAAGTATTTTATGGCTTAACACAGTGTACTGTCTTAATATAAGAAATTCTTGGGCAAGAACTCATAATCCTGAAAATATACAAATACTCTGCTACAACTTTTTAATGTAAATTTTCTTGATGCTTCAGCAATCATAATTTTAATATCTTAATGAATCATCAAAGAATTTCTACTTTGCAGTATAATCATTTTTTTTAAAAAAAAATTGTACCTGAGATGTAAAGGATGAAGCATGCTAAAATGAGTTTCTTGTTTTATTTTGGAAGTAATGATTTATTTATTTTGAAATGATACTTACTTATATGTGTTGGGAAACGAAGCTTATGAGAAAACAAAACATTGGATTCCTTGACTATCTTTTAGATGGGTATTTTATACTATTTGGAAGAAGACTGATATTTGAAGCTGAAAGACTGAGCTACATGCTGCGTGAAATGTGTAGGCTTGCCACATGCTTTGTCTTGGTGTCTTGACTCTAAATTATATGCTGTAGATTATTTTGAAACTTAGTCACACTATCAATTGATAATTCTTTAAATGGTTTTTATTATTTTAATTTAAAAGCAAATGCACAATGTATATTTTGATGAACTAGTATGTTATTTTTGGAGGTCAACTTAGCTAAATTAGCAGCAAAATTATAGCTGCTGAATGCACTGAACCTTTAGAATGTGATCATTTTATAATGTTTATTTTAGAATTTTGAACACCAGTTTTAAAAGTCAATATTAGCATTTAGTGTGATACTGTAGATTTTTTTCCAACATTCATCACTTTAATAATCATGGTGTGACTTGTGCATTTGTTGTCAAATGATCACTGTGCTTCCCTGAAAGAAATTTAAGAATAGATGTTATTTTTTTAATAATACCTTCTAACTCACTGGGATTTTTACAACTTTTTTATGGTGAATAAAATTTCATCATGAAAAAGTGACACAAAAGCACCATCATAGTTTACCATCGTGGTAGTGTTAAAATCTATGGTCTTTGCTGCATAAGAATTAGCATGAAAGTACTTGACCCTAGTTATAAAAGAAATGAATTATTTAGTTTCTTTTTTCATCATCTGTTTTTCAACTTAGAAAGATATAAATTGTTCTCTTTCCACCTGTAAGATTTACGAGCTACTTAATAATGATATAGTGTTGTACCATTATTGGTACACCATTATTGTACACCACCCAGAGTCGCTTGTTGTGAAATGGGTGGCCACATAAATGTGATTGATTGAATAAATAAATGAATATAGTGTTACTGAATTAATGACTATGTAGTGAAATGTCAATCAAAATCCGTCTGTGTATTTATTGTAAGTAGGGTAGAATAGTAGATCGAACAAGTGTTAAAACTATGGGGTAGACTATTTTTCCAAATTAAATATGAAAAGTTGAAATATATGTAAGATTACATGCCCTTTTTGCTTTGATATTGATTCTAATCCTAGAGGGACAAATATACATTAAAAATAGACAATATGCTAGAAACTCACTGTAAGGACCTGCCCCAACTGGTCCTTCAGGAAAGCAAGACTCTTAAATCCATTAAGTTGAATCGAAAGAACTTTTACTGAAAGAGAAAGTGATTGCAGGAAAGTAAGGCAGAAACTGAAAAATCCTGCATAAAGCACAAAGCAATTCTTTCAGTTTCCCCAAGCCGAACCTAACCAGTCTACTGGCAGCCAATGTGATGTCGCAAGGCTGGAATCTGCTGGGAGAGAGTCCACTCCATCTCCAAAGACAATGACTTCCAAATTCCCAAGCAGTACAGCAAAAGCAAAAGCATGCCAAAATGCCAGCAAGCCTCCTTTCCCCTCCCACACTTCCAACTGAATGGCAGGACACGATGATCGACCTGATACTTTCCCTTTTAACCAATTTTATCTATGATAAATGGGAGATAGATTTGTACAGCACAAGGCACGTCCCATTTCATTCAGTGTGGTCTGGACCTAAAACGTTTCTGGTACCATGTTGATCTGAGACATTTATGAATCTTGTATTTATATTTTGTGCCAGTAGAGCCCAACCGTATGGATGGGATAAATCTTATTTCTTAAGTAATCAATTAACATATATGCTATTTGAATATGCATGTGGAAGCCTATTAGATTATTGGATCGATGTCTCCCGGTATGTTTCTGCACATGGTATGAAATTATATTTTTGTAAAATCTGCGTGTACTGATTTTTTGTTTGCTCATTGTGTTGCTATAAACAGATCCTGAAAATTGTTGAGATATAGTTCTTATTGTAATGTTGGTGCAATAAGAAAGCAAGAAAAAATAAAATGTACCATTCTTCTTCTTTTCAATCTTAAAAATCATTCAATAAAATTATTTTATTGTTAATTAAAGAAGACTGTTTATAGACTGGCTCCCAAAACTCTTCCCTCCATTTCTAGTGAAAGGCCAATACACTACATGAAGAAATTCAGATATAATTTCCTGATGTAGTTAAGAGAAGATAGTCTATTCCATGATAATCTGATAGGCACTGAATTTTATAAACACTGGAATTTACCACATTGAAGTTGTCATATACTAACAAACTAGACATATAAAGTAAGTTGTATTATAATTTTATGTGTTGAATGAAGCCACTTAATAAACTATGATAAAGTGCAAACTTTCAATAAATTGTTTTGATGAATGAAAAGCTATATTTTTATGTAAATCTACTAGAGATTTGTAGGCAAACATGAACGGAAAGCATAAATCAACATTTGGTAGTGGTTTTAAAACACCTGTGTTTTAAACAAAATCACTTCTGAATATCAGTTGGCATTCTTTTTTTTAAAATGAGTGATAAAACATTGCGGTGGGAAATCTGTAGCAAGGAAGCAGAACATTTTAGATATCTAGGTTTGCATTGAATTGTAAGATACATATATTTAAATATATTTAATTATGCGTTTTTTTAAAAAAACCTCATGTCTTGATTTGAAATTTATTCATTTATTTGTTAAATGTATTTGCCACAACTTTCCAGGGGGCTATCCTAGGCAGAAGTCATACAAGGCTTGTAATGAACCTAGACCTACCTTTTTAAAATACATAGAATGTAAGATCCTGCCTTGCCAATCTTCTCAAGAAAGTGGAACTCTTGAAATAAATCCATTTCGAAAGGAAACTTTTTTTTGAAGTTGACAGCAAGAGAGGTAAGCAGGAAGTGACTTTTCCCACTTGAAACAATAAATTAAACCATTGCAGACAGAACCCTTCCCAAAATCCAATACATCACCAAGTCAATCCTGATGTGTGAAGATATTATGAGAAACGCCAGCAGAGAAGCCAGCAGAGAAGGTGATAAACTCAGTCTCCAAGGCAATGCTGGTGCACTTCTTCTGAGAGGAGATAAGGCAGCTGCTTGAAGCACAGTCCATTCCCCCTCCCAAGGCCCTGAAAATTACAGCAAAGCAAAGTAAGAAATAGAAACAGAAACCACATATAGAGATCCCTCCAAGCCTCCCCCCTCTCACCAGTATGATAGCATCCCTGTCTATGGGGCCTGACGTGCCACCCCCCTAGAAAAATGGAAAGTTCACCTGAAGGAAATAGAAATAGGGAAGGGGAGACAACAAAATATACAATCAGGCTTGTCAGGGTACAAGTGATGTAAACATTCATTTTAAAGTATGTACATGTTTCTTGTGAAGCCATTCGTTCTGGGAAAAAGGGAGGTGTTTCCATGCCAACAGGTACTAGGTGGCCCCATGGAATTTCCTAGAGTCCAAGATTGCCTGAACTTCAAAATGTTCACTTTTGACTATAATAGGTGGTGGAGCAGAGGAAGGAGTGGGACGGAGGTTAAAGGTGATTTCAGGCTATAGCAGACTACAATGAAAAACAATAGACTTGACTTCCAGTTTGAGTTCCTTCGCCGACAGACCAAAACCACGATCGTGCGTGGTTTTGATCCGTGCTCACTGCTGGAGCACCCTGGCTGGTTTCGGGGCTAAGCCACCCCGTAGAGGTAGTGAAGGGTGGGGAGACTGCCAGCAGGGTTGAGGAGAGCCGCATCTCCTCAGCTGGCCATTACTCCCTTTCCCGAAGGCAGTTGCAGCAGTGGTCAGAAATGACCACCTCAAAGAAGAACTCGACCAGAAAAGAATGTGCAGGAGGAAGATAAGAAGAGAAAGTTTTGGTTGACCGGGTTAAACTGCAAAAGCAACAACGTAAGGTACCTTGGAGTTTAAACATTAAAAAAAAAAACATTGTTCCCAAAGATGATTTTGAAGCAGCGAAGGAGAGAGGGAAGGGAAAGGATTTGGGTTTTTTTTTCTTCCCTTCTCTTTACTGACAGCTAAGAGACTTAAGCAAGAAATTGAAAAAAAAAAACCACTTTGACATCAATAGGCATTTAAGCTGAAAATAAAATGTCAAAGGGATAATAAAGATTTCTGGATACTTAAAACCTTATAAAAGCAGGAAAGGAGAGAAAAAGAATAAAAGGGCAGGATCTGGAAAAATTGAGGAGACTGCCTGGAACTAAAAGGAATTTACAGTGAAACCTCAACAAGACTCCTAAAAGATACATTTTAACTAAAATTTGGCAACAAAATAATAGAACCCCAGGAAGAGAAAGTGGAAAAAAGAAGCAAGAAGAAACAGCTTTGGATTATTTGGATTACTTGGTGATCTTTGGATTTTTGGTTATTGCATTTAAATGACTAAAATCAATCAGGTGGTCGTTTAAAAGTGTTTAAAATGGCACCACTTTTAGAAGAACTGAAAATGGAACTTAAAAAGTACAAAGAAGATGCACAAGAAGGGAGAGGTTCTTTTGGCTTCGCATTTCAATTCTTAGAAATGGAGATCTGGAACTGAGAAACAACAAGAAATGCTTGCAGAACAAGAAGATGGGACAAAGAAGAAGCCATCTTTAATGATCAAGTAATTTTATGTGGGAGGAAAAAGGAAAGGGGGGGAAAGAGAATGAAAAGTTTTAAGATTTGAAAAAACAGCCAAAAAAAGAATATGGAAAATAAATATAATATTAGAAAGCAACAGAAGGGGGGATTACAGAAGAGAGAATTAGAAGTAGAGAGACAAGGGGGTAAAAAGGGGAGGGAAAAGAAGAGGGAGAAGAAGGAAAGGAAAAGTTATAAACGACTGAAACAAGATATAGAGAAACAGGGAAAAGGTATAAGAATTGAAAGTGTAAGCCTGTTTAGAGATAATGGGTGAAAATTTAATTGTAAAAAGGATTCTGCAAAGGTACATAACAGTATTTTTATATTACAAATAGAAATAATTTTAGAAAATATGATTAAAATGATGGATAAAATATAATCTAGTGGAATATTTGTTAATAAATAAATGAAATAAAGTGAATGAGAGAATTAAATTAGGAAAGGATGGGAACATTTTAATTATTAATGATTTATAAAATATAAGTGAAGAGAAATATGGGGAAAAAAGAATTAATTATGGAAAGTTTATAAGTGTTCCCAAGGAAGTATGATATTTAATTGAAAAGAAATGTTAAAGATGTTTAAGATTTTAATGAATACTAATGATAGAACTGAATTGGAATGGAATGAGTGATATATATCATAAGCCTGATGATGGCAGATGAGATTCTGCCGAAACGTTGCTACAACTTTAAAAGCACAACTACAATGACGTGGGAAAATACCCGAACAAAGCTGAATGCCATACATGTGAGTACCCGCGAAAACTTAAGAAAATATATATATATATGTATATATACATATATATATATACTTTCTTTAGGAATATAGTGTGTATTTTAGAATGTATCAAGCAGAATTCGATTGGAAGTTATGTATTACACTGAATGTCATAATGTTAAAGGTATACATTGAAGCTTAAATAAGAGTTGAATGGATAAAATTAAAAGATTTAAAGGTGTTATACTCCAGTTAGTAACCACAGGGGAAAATTTGATTAATGAGAAAAGATAATATGAAATTGCAACAGGACAGACAAAAGTATAAAGATAATGATTTGAATTGAGATGAGATAATCAAAATAAAGTTGAGAAAATTAAAAGAGGGGAAAATCTATGTAGAAAATGTAAAACAGTAGTAAGATATGGAATAGAACACAAAAATGAGCATGAAATTGAGTTTGCATCTGTATGAAGAAGTGATAACCCGGGACCATGCTATTTTTGAAAAAAGATGTTTTATTTATATTATGGTTTTTTTTTGTGAAAACCCAAATAAAATTTTCAAAAAAAAAAGAAAAACAGTAGACTTGCCATAAAGATTTAAGATGTTGCAATTCCACCAAGACAGGGTTAATAATGCAGATGATGGGAAAAGGGCCAATGTACTTAGGACCTAAGTTTTTGGATGGTTGCAAGGATTTCAGAAATCTGGTGGAGAGATAGACCTTGTCACCCACCCTGTAAGGCTTAGGTTCGATTCTTTTCATCTTGAGCCTTAAAGGCAGCTCTGGCTTCGTCCAGTGCAGGGGTGTCAAACTCGAGGCCTGTGGGCTGGATCTGGCCCATGGGCTGCTTAAATCCAGCCCACAGGGCCGGCCTGGAAATATCAAGGGACCGACCTGCAGTGCCTCTGGTGGCTAAAGAGGGCCATGTGATGGGGGCCTTGCACCTTATTTTCACTCTCCATGGCCTCCTGCAGCACTCTGTTGGCTGAAAAAAGGCCCGAAAATTTTCCTCAGGGTTTTGAGAGCTACAGTATATTACAGAAGTGAGTACACCCCCTCACGTTTTGTAAATATTTAAGTATATCTTTTCATGTGACAACACTGAAGAAATGGCACTTGGTTACAATGTAAAGTAGTGAGTATCAGCTTGTATGACAGTGTAAACGTGCTGTCCCCTCAACACAACACACAGCCATTAATGTCTAAACTACTGGCAACAAAAGTGAGTACGCCCCTCTCTTTTGTGTCCAGTTGCTTTCTCATGTTGTTGGCGCACAATCTGCCGTTGATTTTTATGGCTACTCAGAGTTGGTTGGGGATGTCATGGTAGGCGGTTACCTGGGCAATTTGCTTGTCCAGGCTTGTTCTGAAAAAAACACTAAGAGCCACTCTGGTAAAGGAGGTAGCTTCCCAATGACTCTTGAATTCATGGATGTGTTCCTTGAAGGGTCGCCCCCTCTGCCTTAGGTTTCTGAGCTCATCTTCCACATACGGGTCATCCTTTGCCTCCTCAAATCTGGCCTCTAGCAGTCGTAGGAAGTCATCTACATCCTGCAGTTGGGAGGGGCTCTTCTTTTGTGGAAGGCTGCTAGCCATTCCCTTGCCTCTCTCTCTCTAGCCCCTGGGTGACGGTATTCACCATGGCTCTGGGGGATGGGTAGAGGTGTCCATAGCATTCTAAGTGGATGTCAGCCGAATCAAGGAACAGAGATAGCTGGTCGGAGTCCTCATAAAATTTTCCCCTTAAGCGGGGCGGTTGTTCAACACTGCTCCTTCCTCCTCCTGTTGGTCACTGAAAGCCTACACTTGATGTGGCTGGCCACCTTTCATGGCCCTAGTTTGGGGAGTGGGAGGGGGTTGTCTGCCCTGGGCGGTCTGCCTGCTGTGTGGGAGAGACACTGATTGCAATCTTGGGCTC